CCCAAGGCCTTAACCAGTTCAGAGTTGATCCACATTTTTAGTTCTTCCCAGAGCCACATCCTCAGAGACTAACACCTTTCATGACACCTTAGTCTCCTGCCAGCGGTGAGTGGGTCATTTCTGGGAATGTTGCTTTGGGGTGGCTCTCAGAATCCCTAAGTGGTACTCACTTCATGTCCACAGGAGGTGTGGGTTTTATTGGCTGGGATGCCAAAGAGGTCCTTACCTGCAGGGTCCAGCCTGGGTGGCAGCCAACCAAGCGTCTTTGGAATGTTTTCCAGTCCTGGAGAGAAAGGCCACAGTTGTCTCTCTGCAGCTTTGACCGCTTCTGCTGAGGTGCCTCTTTGTCTGAAATAAGTCCTGGGACACAGACCACGCAGTTATTTCATAGATGTCACATACTGTCAGGTGTGGCCCAGATGGTCAATACAGTGTCCAAGATTTTATGGACTTGGCTCTCAGGAAGGCCACGTAGTGTACTGGTAAGAACTGGCCTCTAGAGCTAGACTTCTGCTTTTGAATCCTGGCTTCACCACTTACCAGCCATATGCCCTTGGGAAAGTGACTTAGCTTCTCCATACTTGTGTCCTCATCTGTAAAAGAGAGTTAATAATAGTACCTGTCTCAAAGATTGTTGTGAGGACAAAGTGTTTAGCACACAGTAAGTACTTGGGAAGTATTCATTTCTGTAATTATGTATTATGTGGCAGGATGGCCTTACGGTGATTTCAGATTTACAGAAGGATTTTGGGCTTCTCCCTAAACTGCTTAGTATATGTGGGAGGGCTGTCTTCCAGAGTCCACCCTTGATATTTTCTGCCCCTTTTCCAATACCTACTCTTTTCGTCTTTATTACTTTTCCTGTGCTCACCCATCAGTTACCTATCCAAGATTAAGGAATGTGCAGTTGGAATCAGAAACCAGGGACTTGGGCCTCACTTAGCCACTTGCTGCCATGTGGGTTTAGACAAGTAACTGAACCTCTTTGAGCAGGAGTGGGAATTTGGGATGACATAGGGTTACCAGGTCTCTCACAAAGATGGAATGACTGTGCATCCTCTTACTCTGGGATAATAAAACAAAGGACACACATTAGTAATACCTGGTGACTCTCCACTGGAAGCAAAGACTTACCTGTCTGTACCTATGCATGAAAAAGAATCAAGGTGATTTTTACCCTTTCTTTCCCCCTCCCTCCCTCACAGCCAGGTATATAGTGGGAAAAGCATCTGATTGGGTATCAGGAGACTAGGGTTCCCTTAAATGAGATACTCTGTGTATAGTACTCAGCACAGAGTGACAACTGGGAGTATTTAATTGCTATGCTACTTAGTTCCACCGTTCTGGTAGCCCAGGCGTTCCATTTCCATCGAACCCATAGCGACTCTATATTACTGGAGTTTGGTACGTGAACAGGGCTGTACTTTTATAAGCCCTGACAGTCTCCTGGCTTGACCACCCATTTCCTAGTGATCTCTGTTTCTCAACTTCTGGTCTTACAGAATTAAAATAAAGTGCTTGAACTGTATGTACTTGCATTTCTTACAGCTTTAACATGATACAGTGGCATAGAATTAGACACATAGAGTCTGTCCTATCACTGGGTTCATTTTCTTCATAGTACTAGATACTGTCTTCTCAGATTTTCCTCGGCTCCTTTTTTAAAAATTATTTGTTTCTAGTCCCCACCTCATCCTGCTTGTTCCCCCAGGAAGTAAGCTGCATGAATTGGGACCTTATCTGTGTGTTGGTCATGGCTCTAGAATAGTGCTTGGACCAATTTAGTTGCTTAATAAATGTATAACTGTGCATATAATGTAGTTAGATAAATTTGTCTAAAACACTTAGGTCGTTATTTTTCCCCTTACCTACTTCCCACACGGAAATATACTACATTATTATTAGATTAGAATAATTGAATTAAGAACTGTCTGTCTTAAAACTTAACCAGAGTAGCAGTACCAGGTTTCTTACTCTTGCATGTGCATATAGTATCAAAGGACTGAAGCTCCTGAAATCGGAGGAAGCCCACGTATTTTAGGACTGATGACACTTGACTGTGATGACAGTGTGCCAAGTATTTGCAGTGAGTGTTGGAATCTGCTTTGTTCTGTTGATGCACATGGTGGATATAGTTGGCAGGAGGCAAAGTATAACCCTTAGAATTCTGCTCACACATATTATTGAGATTTCATATTACTTTTATTATTTGGCCACAAAAATGGACATAATCCTTGTTGGCTTTAACACACCCACTAGTACTGCTTTCGCTATCCATCTTGCAAAATATAAGACAAGGCCAGAGCTTAAATTAAAATCCTCGGCTTCTTATCTCCTTCCCACAGGAAAGCAAATCTGTGTTGAAAACCGTAAAATTAAGAGGAGAGGAAGGATAGCATAATTTAGCAAAAATTCATGGCACCAGATTCTGAGCTATATGACTGGAGGGATAGGTCAGACATTAAGAAGATGCTGCCTGCTAATGCAAGTTCCTTAAGGTGGTGCTCTGGAAAAAATAAGGGCATGCAAAATGTGTGTGTGTGTGTGTGTGTGTGTGTGTGTGTGTGTGTGTATGTGTGTACTTCCAGAAGATTTCTGTAATGCTTACTCTTTATAACTACCCTAAGAAAATATCTCTGTAGATTGTTTGGCAATTATGCATCTTATGAGACTTTCAAAATGAAACTCAGAGCAGTTATTCCAAAGTATAGTTGAAATATATTCATTTTAATATGAGTATTGAGATTTTTGTCTCCATTTTAAGAAGGGTTTATTATAATATCCTGCTATCCCGATGTCTCACCACCCACACTTCTAGCATTCTAAATTCCTTGTATTCAAGAAGCTCATTTTGTTATTTGGAAAACTCCATCGTTAACACTTTAAAAGCATTAAAAGTTTCTTTTAACCTTTAACACATTTATATGCATAGATGTTTGTGCTGAAGTGCATAAAGAAAAATCCTGTGGCTTTGATAATGGTGTTCTCTTTAATAAATGCCTAGGGCCATTGAGTCATGTAAGTTTTGTCATTAGAGAGGAGCTGATAATTATAAAATAGGGAAGATCTAGTACAGAAATTATATCGTTGTCCAAAAAAGTGTCATTCCCCCCCCCATAAGTTTCTTGTGGATGGAGGTTGTAATGATAGGGTGTAAGGAGAATTAAGTATTACTAGGATAATTGTTTCTAATTTTCCTGAGGATAGCCCTTCCCATTGGTGCCATATCTTTTTTACACCTAATTTGTGAAAAACATCAAATTCAAAATTAGCGTGTGTCATAGGTGCAGTCACCTATACACAAGTGTATTACAGGGGCCCTCTTTGCTACTCAGATATGAACTTACATGTGAAGCAGTTCACATTGTACAGTTTCAGGCACTTCTTCAGATTTTTAAGAAATAGGAATATTTGCTTCTGAAGAAAACTGATTTCACAGGCATTTTAGTCAATGGTACAGTAAAATCTTACTAATTCAACCTAATTAGTAAGTGAAGACATCTGAACTAGTGAATTCATTATACTCAATTTCTCTTAAATCCATGTTACCCTTTACTATAATGTTTCTAAATAGAGATTTTCCTGAGACTGCTTTAATTAGTTAGATGGGTTTCAAATCAGAAACACCCATTTTTTATGTGTATATAATTGTGATGAGTTGCCTTTCTTTTGGTATGGAGTGTGTTATAGAGTCTTTTTAAAATAATCCCCCTAGAGAAGTGGGTTAATAGGTATAAAAATACAGTTAGTTAGAAGGAATGAATTCTAATATGTACAGTAGAGAAGTATAATTTATTGTATATTTCAAAACAGAAGACAAGAATTATAATGCTCCCAATACAAAGACAATATAAATGTTTGAGATGATAGATATTCTGATTACCTTGATTTGGTCATAACCTAACGTATATAGGTATCAAAATATCACATGTAACCCCAAGAAGGTATAACATGATATATCAATTAAATAAAAACAATGCTTCCCCTAATTAGGTTAAACCTGTCTGAGCCTTACTTATATTACTGATGTACTTAGTAAGCATTTTCTTGGCTGGGGGGTGGTGACCGTCTTCAACCTTGTCTGCAATCAAAATGATCACAGATTTCAAATTGATGCAGTCTAAATAGATAATCCAAATTTTCAAAAAGTGTTATTGCAATATCATTTTGGACCTCCAAATTAAAAATAAAATGTGATTGTAAGCAAGTATAAAATATATAGTATGTTAAAATATAAAATGCTAATTTAAAATGTTCTTAAAAGAATTATTTCATATTATGCAGTTATATTCAAGTTTGGAAATTTCCTTTTATCAGTTGATATTTCTGGAAACTAGAGAAGCAAAAAATAAATTGAGTAGGGGCTAAAGCATAATGAATACTCATGTTTGATTGACAGAGTTATAAAACATAAAAAAATGATGTGGCATGATTCTTAAGGATATACAACTTTAGAATTATGAATTCTACAAACCAAGGGGATATCAGTGCATCAGATTTATGCTTATTGGGTTGTTTAATAATTTGCCCTTCAAATTGACAATATTTTTTCATTTATTAGTTAATTAAACAATTTTTATTGAGTGTCTTTTTTGTGCCAGATATATATAATGAATTAAAAGCTTATAAAACATTAATAAATTTTGCCCCAGTAACTCTTTATTGAACTTAACCTGATATAATTTTAAAAGGAGTATGAATATGTGTGTGCAGAGATTCATGTCATATGGAGTAATAATGATCAACCTAAATCTCTAAAGGGACACTGGTAAAATAACTGATAGTCTCTTAGTGAAATATTCATGAACTTGGGTATGTATCATGGCTAACTTTTGAAGATCTAAATGAGACGACGTCATTTGTTCAGGTCTGAAGATGATTCTTGGGTTATGCTGGTAACTGGTTACTGCTGTTGTGTGATTTTTTTTTTTTTTCCTTTGGGAGAGGGCTCAAGAACTGGGCGTCCATTATTAACTGTTGACCCTATGGTTACTTTGCAGTCTAATAAAGTGCCCGTGGTGCAGCCATCCCATGCGGTCCATCCTCTTACCCCCCTCATCACTTACAGTGACGAGCACTTTTCTCCAGGATCACACCCATCACACATCCCATCAGATGTCAACTCCAAACAAGGTGAGAGCTCCTGCCTTCCCAGGCATCTTTTGCTAAATGGGGAATCAAGCTCTATCAATCCGAGTAGTCCGCCAGTTGCCATTGCTCTATGTCACTGGGTGGCTCAAAACACATATGTAGGAGAAAGAGTAATTCATTTGATGGCAGCTCCCACAAGAATTTGTTGTTATTTCTTTTATTTTGGGGAATTAAAAAGCAGAAGAAAAGCACAGTAGGGTAATTTTCCAAATGACAGCTCTGAAAATCTGCCATCTACAATATTAACCAATATGTTATGCAAATATGCCAAAAATGTAATGTTCTGTAGAATACATATTTCAGCATGGACAAGGTGTTGATGATTGTACTTTTTAAAAACTAGGAAAGGAGAAATAGAAGATTTTTACTTTACATATTATTCAAAAGCCTCTTGTGATTTCTTTTGGTGATTCAGTTTTATTCCTATTGTGTTTATTCTCTATTTGTTTCTTACTAGCACTAGCTTAGATAATATAAATCATAATTAAAGTAAAAAAAAAACCTATTTAAAGTCAAAAGATTATGAAGCTTAGTTTGCTCCTGTACATTAATATTTGCTTCTACTTCATTTACCAAAAAGTACATAAGAAGTCTGAAAGATTCAAATGGGCCACCTTCTGCCAGTTGTGAACAAGTATGGATTGGGAGGGACAAAGAGTACTGGTGCCCTCCAGGGCTTCTGGTCTCATCTGTTCAGGACCAATCATGAGGCTGGATTTTTTTTTTTTTTTTCTGGCATGACTTGTGGTTCTTTACATGCACATATACACTTGGACTTCAACATTTCAAATAAAAGATTTTATAAAACCACGTGGAGGCAGACAGTGTGTAAAGGAGTAAGATTTGCTACTGCCTGCATCTTACCCTTTTGTTCAGTCTTATCTTTGACCTATAAAGAACAACACATTTAATGACTGTGTAAAAAAGAGTAGTGTTCAGAGGCTAGGTGTTCTTTCCATTGCCATGAGCACCTCTAGGTTAAATACTCAACACTTCCAATTCCCTCCATTGTTAAAATAGAACACTTACTTGAAGATTTAGTTACTGTTGCACTGCACTTGAGTAGAACCCAAGAACCTTTACATAGAGAAGGTCAGAATCACTTCTGCAGACATTTCCAGATTTGCCTGTTTTACTCCCCATTCCCATTTCTTCCTTTACCCTGCTTCTTTTGTCAAGCATCTCCAAAGAATAAGAAACATAAAAAAGGCAAATCTATGGCTATACGAGGGGGACCTTCCCCCCCCAAATTCAGAATTTATTTATAAAGAAATTATGTATTTATTCTTAAATGTTTAAGCTTCAGTCACAGTCCAAGTACTCTCCATTGGATATGATATACCTACCAAAATGCTTTTCCATTGCTCAGAACAGTTTTTTGAGCTCATCAATTTTGATGCCTTTTAGTGCTTCTGCCGTTTTTTGTTTCACCTCTTCCACATTAGCAAAACATTTCCCATTGAGGATTTTTTAAATTCAGGGAAACAAAAAGAAAAGTTGTTTGGGGCAAGATGGGGTGAATAGGGAGGGTGGGGCATGGGAGTCATGCTATGTTTGGTAAAAAACTGCTGAACTCTCAGTACAGTGTAGGCAGGTGTGCTTGTCAATCACCCATCATGAAATGGGCAAATACGTTGAAAGAAATCTCCAAAGAAAAATTCACTGAAGCTGAACGCAGCCTCTTACAACAATGCTAACTGATACGTTGATGCCGATGGGTTCCTAGAACACTAACCTAGTAGGGAAAGCCTGTACTACAAGGGGCCCACCCTTCAAAAAATAATTCCAGGTTTTTTGGGGTCCTGCCTTATATAGAAAGGGAATTAAGCTAGGCGTCTTAGGAAAAGGCTGAATGTGAGAGGAAAGACCAACAATATGATCTTGGTCATGGTGCATTTGGTGTATCTTTGAGATATCCATGGTGCATTTGGTGTATCTTTGAGATATCCAGATATGTAGGCAATTTGAATGTGTGGGTCACAATCTTCAACAAGAATCTGACCTGGACATACACATCTGGGAACCATGAGGATGTGGATAACAATTAAACAGATATAAAAGCCTCAAACAGCAGAAAGAAACCAGCCAAGTTTTTTTATTTTGTTTTTAATGATTTATTTGTTTAACAATTAATTAGTGCTTACTGTATCTTTTGTTTGTAATACTTAGAAACATTAACTTGGTGGCTCAGCCTGTAATCCCAGCACTTTGGGAGGCCAAGGTGAGTGGATTGCCTGAGCCTGAGGGTTCGAGACCAGCCTGGGCAACTTGGCCACCTTATCTTTACAATAAGTCAGAAATTAGCCAGGTGTGGTAGCATGCACCTGTAGTTCCTGCTACTTGGAATGCTGAGGCAGAAGGATCGCCGGAGCCCAGCAGGTTGAGGCTGCGGTGGCTGTGAGTGTGCCATGGCACTCCAATCTGGGTGACAGAATGAGACTCTGACTCAAAAACAAACAAAAAAAAGAAACATTAATTTATTTAGAAGAATAATAGACCTTGATTCAGTAGTTTTCTCTCACAAGAATTCAAGGAAAGCTCTGTGTTAAAAAGAGAAGTTTATAACTGGCTATCAATTACATTTATATTTTCTCTTCTGTTTCCATCTCTACCTTGTTTTGCCTAATTGTAATTTATATCATTGTTTCTCAAACTTTTTTTTTAACTCTCCAGAATCACAGAGAAAGATCTAGTGGACGTGACCAAAAGTTGTTGGCTTGTAGTTTCTTTTGTCTTTTTTTTTTTTGTTCTAAAAATTGTTGTGATTCTTGTAGTCTATTTTATTCACTAGTTGTGCTTGTTTTAATATAAAGATACTGTTTTTAATGACATGTTGGCCCTGGGCTTCATGTTCCTTACCATCATGTATTTCTGGAGGTATGTAAACTCTGGTTTTAAAGCACTCATTTACATAATATTGAGTTTATGTAATTCTATTTGGGCACTTTCATTGCCAAAAGAAAAAATAAACTCACTAGATCTCTTACTTTTACCATTTTTCTCTCCTGCATTTTGGGGCTAGAGTGACTGATTTCAAAGTTCCTAGTAGGCTTGTGAGCTTTACCCCCACTCCACCAAAAACCCCAAGAAGTATCATGTTCAGACTCTAAGCCTAGTTAGAAACATTCAGTAAATATGTTTTATTTATATATATATTGTAAGTATTTCTCAGTTAATATTTCTGAATAATTGAACAGACAAGTCAAATAAAAAGTGTTACTCTTTTTCTTTCTTGCCTTTTGGGGTATATCATATAGCTCCACTGGTCAGAGCATGATGACACTGTGCTCTCATTTGTGGAAAAATAGCTTCAAGTTAATTTCCTATTAGGGAGCACATTTATTTTCACCTCTTAGAGAGAGAGAGAGAGAGAGAGAGAGAGAGAAAGAAAGGGAAAGGAAGTTAAAAGTTAATATCAGTTATTATTTTCCATTCATTATCAATCTGGTAAAAACATTAAAAGGAAAGAGCTTTTAAGAAATACTAGGTTTATATACCTGTTTCTATCTTTGTATTATCCATTTTATTCTTATAAATAACAACAAACACTCATAGAACACTTATACTTTTTACCAGGCACTTTTCTGTTGTACATATATTAATACATTTATTTTTCACAACAACCCTATTCTGTTACTATTCTGATTTTATAAAGCAGTAGCAATTAAAGAGCTTCCTTAAGAATACGTTGCTAGTGAATGGCATCTCCATATAGCTTGACTCCAGAATTATTTTATCTATATTTACAGAAGTTACTTACAAAAGTTTTGAAATCCTTTTTTTTTTTTTGAGTTGGGAGTCTCACTCTGTCGCCCAGACTGGAGTGCAGTGGCCGCTCCCGGCCACCACAGCCTCGACCCGCTGGGCTCCGGTGATCCTTCTGCCTCAGCCTTCCAAGTAGCTGGAACTACAGGCGTGCGCTACCACGCCCGGCTGATTTTTTGATTTATTGTAGAGATGAGGTCTCGCTGCCCAGGCGGGTCTCAAACCCGCGGGCTCAGGCAATCCACTCACCTCAGCCTCCCAAAGGCGCGGGATTACAGGCTGAGCCACTGAGCCCGGCTAGTTTTGAAATCTTTAACGCTTTGCTGAGTATATCCTCCAGCACATATTTAGGTGTTTGATAAATACCAGTTGAACAAGTGATGTGAAATAGGCTGGGCATGGTGACTCGCACCTGTAATCCCAGCTACTCAGGAGGCTGAGGCAGGAGGATTGCCTGTGCCAAGGTGTTCGAGGGTGCTGTGAGCTATGATCTGTATCATTGCACTTCAGTGCACCACAGTGATAAGAAATGGTGTCTTCAGTATCATGGCAGTTGGTGGAGAGTAATACACTTCTGAGAATATTTGGAAATAGGACGATTTAGAAAACACAGATCCACTTTCTGTTCACATAATGACCTAAGCCACGTCAGGTATTTGCATGCACATGCCAAATGGTTGATACTGTTGATCCAGCATAGAGAATTGGGTCCATTTTTAACACTTTTTATTTTGCTTGCTTGTTTGTTCAAGAAATATTAACTGAGAACCTCCTCTGCAGACAAGTATAGTTTGATACATAATTTGGTAAAGTGTGGTCTTTTTTTCCAAGCAGTATATAAACTCATACAGGAAATCATTTGCACAAACTAATTATACAACAAAATGAAGAACAGCCCAAGTACCATATTAAAAGTACAAATAGGCTGGGTGCAGTAGCTGATGCCTGTAATCCCAGTACTTTGGGAGGCCAAGGCAGGAGGATCACCTGAGCCCAGGAGTTCCAGACTAGCCTGGACAACATAGTGATACCTCATCTTTCTGAGGGGTGGAGGAGGAGTCAAAACAAAACAAAACAAAAAACAAAATAAAAAAATTAGCCGGACACGATAATGAGTATCTGTAGTCCCAGCTACTCAGAACACTGAGGTGAAAGGATCAACCAAGCACAGGAGGTCGAGGCTGCTGTGAACTATGATAGCACCATTACACTCCAGTCTTGGGTGACAGAGTGAGACTCTGACCCAAATAATAATCATAATCATAATCATAAATAAAACAACACATAAACGTTGTAGATTCAAAGATTTCTCAGAGCTATAAGAGAGGAAAAGTCGCCGGGCTCGGTGGCTCAGCCTGTAATCCCGTGCCTTTGGGAGGCCGAGGTGAGTGAATTGCCTGAGACCGCGGGTTCGAGACCCGCCTGGGCAACTTGGCGAGACCTCCTCTCTACAGTAAATCAAAAAATTAGCCGGGTGTGGTAGTGCGTGCCTGTAGTTCCAGCTACTCGGAAGGCTGAGGCGGAAGGATTGCCGGAGCCCAGCAGGTTGAGGCTGCGGTGGCCGGGAGCGGCCACTGCACTACAGTATGGGTGACAGAGTGAGACTCCAACTCAAAAAAAAAGAAAAAAAAAAGAGGAAAAGTCTTGGAAGAGGGGCATTGAAAGATAAGTAGAATTTTAATAGGCACAGTCAAATTAAATAAATACCTAGCACCAGACCTGGCATGTTGCAGGTGCTAAGTAAATAGTCCTTCCTTCCGTCCTTCTAGCAGATAAACACAGTCCAGCTAGTTTGTGTCTTTTGTTCTGTTGAATCACTTCTGCACAGAATCATTTCTGCTGTGTGTACTTAGAACACGGGCTAGTGTGGAGAGCAAGAGTTTTAAGCTTAAAGACGTGATTACAATCAAGTTACCTCTCTGTGTCCCAGTGAACAAGGCTCAGGACAGAACATATTTTATATGTAACCCCAACAGATGCCTGAACAGTCGCTTAACTCCTCTAGACCTTAATTTACACATCTGCAAAATAAAGGGATTAAAGCAGATAGTTCAGAAAGCCTCTGACCCCTAACTGTGATTTTCAAATTAATCTAATAAAGCATTCACATTTCCTTTCATTCAAGTTTCTAATGTTCTTCAGAGTTGTTCTGGTTATATTGCTTTTGGGTCCTCCCCCAACATCCCATCCCCCCTCAAATAAGCTGTTACCCTGCAGATTTGGGAGATATCTGGATCTCAGTGTTAGGGAGGGGCAAGTTGAAAAAACTTCCCAATGATTCTGATTCATTCAGAATCACCATTGCAGACTCCTGCAGGGTCACTTCTGTCACTAGAACCTTTCCAGACCCAAGAATAAAATCCTAGGGTAAAAAAGTTAACTCCGTAACCAAAATAATCAGTATTTCTAAGCAAAAGCAATTTTCCTTACTAAGGAGATTTGAGACTATTGTTTTAAAAACAGCAAAACATGATGGTTTCATGTAACGTCTCTGTTGAGAAATTAAAGACCTTTCTCCTCACCTACTTTTCTGTGCAAATTGGGAAGCTGTTTTTTATAACTTAAAAGTCAAAGTAATATCAACTTTAAAGACAGCACTTCTTAAGTCATTCCCAGTTTCAAGGCCTTCTCTATCTTTTAAGATCCAAATGAAATTTATAGGCACTTAAAATGGTTTTTAAAAAAAGCAGAATATTTAACGAGCATCTTCTATATGTTCACCTAATTCTACATATTAGCCAATGTGTTTGCAATCACTGCAGAATGGGTGTTAAACCTTGGAATGTGTGCTTATGTATGGAGATGGTCTTTTAAAGCCACAAGTATAGTTATGTGAAGGAACGTTTGTGACTCTTCTATTCAGAATCACTTTCTCCCAAATACATTAAGTTTGAGCTTTTATATTTTACATTTTATGCATTTGTCTTGTCTTTTTTTTTTTTTTCCTTCTGTACCTAGAGTGAGGTATAAACAAAGGAATGTCATTTGGGACTAGGATTAGGTATAATCTTTAGGTGGTTTTCACAGTTATAGGGCAGGGTACTCCAGGGAGTCTGAGCTTGAGAAACAATTTGGTGGCACTCTCATTTTCTGTGGAATTCAACTAATCCAGAACAGCTTGACCTTGGAGCCCAGAGGACTCAACTTGATGAAGAGCTTAGTTGGAGCTGAAGTGGCAGACAGAGACCAAATGAATCATATCAAGTGTAACCATTATGGGACTGAAGATGATTCCTAATTAATCTGTGATCCTCTGAGGTATCACATTTCCCAAATCTATGTGTCCATAAGGGAACCAATGAAAATATGAAAGTGGCAATTTATCTAATCCTTGAGCACCATGGCAAGCCATCTACTTGTGAACAGCTGTCATTTTTCATTTTATACAAGATAATTTTCATTCCACAGAAAAACAGTTGTCTACTATTTTCTTAACCAAAGTAAAATAATGAGGGCAAAATAAATAATTTAGAAGTCTATTTTGGCAACATGTTTACTCCTTGAGGAGCTCCTCAAGATGTACTACCTGAAGATCCAGTTTTCCCAGATGCTGAAATCTTGAGAAAAGCTAACAAATTGACTTCTGTTCATTGGATCCAGTGAATATTGTGTCATTCTAAACCTCAGGTACTCATGCCATAAATCACTTTATTGCTTTTCTATTACTCTTCTGATCAAACATTCAATGAATCTGAAAATAATGCATCTCTGTTCTTTCTAACAGGCATGTCCAGACATCCTCCGGCTCCTGATATCCCTACCTTTTATCCCCTGTCTCCGGGTGGTGTTGGGCAGATTACCCCACCTCTTGGCTGGTAAGATCCTTCCTGCAGCCTTCCAACATTTGAACACATGTTCTTCTACTTTCCATGCATGGAAATTAGCTTTATGAATGGTAACACTTGTGGAGTTGAAGAAATTTTACATCAACAAGCAAGGTGCTAACTTTATTCATTTCAATTTAAAAGTTTAAAAAACATACAGACTTTGAAATGGATTGAATCTGTTTGCTAATATGTGTAGAAAATGGCTGTATGGCATTTGCTTTGAAGCTTATAGTTTTATGGATTCAATTTGTGGCTTTGGGCATTTGCTATGCCTGTACAAAGTTAGTGCTCAGTGTGGTTTTTCTTTTCTAGGTTTTTTTAAAAAAATAACTTATATTTTTGAAACATGAACTTAAACACGTTGAATATCTACCTCTGCTTTTAAGTGAGGTGAATAACTAGAGAGAAATGCAACAATATAAAAACATCTTTTGAATTTGAATAAAGTAAGCATCTAATTTGAGTTCTGAGTAGCAAAAATCTTATTTGGGGACTTTCTTTTTTCAGACTCTAAATGCTAATGTTCTTATTTTGTTGTCCTTATGGTTGCCTTCAAGATCTTTTAAATTATGAAGATAAAGGAAATATATTTGGGGAAGAAAGAATAACTTTACATAGTATAGCCTACTTTTATCATTTTGTGATTAGGACACAACTTTTCCTTCTCCCACTTCATCCTCTCTCCGTTCTTCCCCTCCCCACTTCTCACTTCATGGAAATAATTCCCTTCTAGCAAATATTTCCCTCCTTTCTCCACATGGGTCTCTATTTTCACAGCCCTCATGTCATTGTTCCCCATTTCCCTGCCTGGGCATCCACACATTATTCTTCTTCAACTAGGAAGGGCTATCCTGCCATGGATAGTCCAGCAGGTTTGTTCTCTCTCTCTCTCTCTCTCTCTCTCTCTCTCTCTCTCTCTCTCTCTCGCTCACTCTCGCTCTCATTCTCTTAATCAGTAACTGTTTGAATTTAATTGATTATTCATACACTTTCAGACCTAGATCATTATCCTGTCTGAATTTAGCTAGTTAGGGGCAATAATCCTTTGCCGAGTTGCACCACTGGCCGCTGGAAAGGAAGACTGTATACATGAGAAATGAGAGGTGTGGAAAAAAAAGAAGGAAAAATGGACTTCTCAGGGTGGAGAGAATAATTCTGATGAATTGTTTTTTATTTTTTGATGCTAACATATGCGTATGGGGGAAAGATGCAGTGTTTTAAGAATGTTTATTCATTTTTATATAAGTATAAAATTGTGCTTTCTCCTTTCTTCCCTTCCCTGAAATTCTCAAAGATTCTGCTGAAGAATTCACCAAGATACTTCTTCAAAAGGAGTATTGTATCATTCTCAGGATTCTGTTATAGTCAATAAGCATTTATTAAATGCCTTCTTTCTTCAAAGCATTAGTGGGGTTGGGAGAGGGGAAGGGATAAAGGACAAGTAATTTGTGGACTGGTGTGTTTCAAAGTTGAGAGAGGGAAATTTCCTTCAAGGCAAATGATGCTCTGATTGGGTGGAGGGTAAGGAAGGAAACAGTTACACATCTGAAAAAATGCTGTAGTCTATAATGCTCCCACAAGACTCTGAATATCTCCCTCTTCTCCCCTCATCCATCTCTTACTGCTGGTTGGTAACTCGTGTTTTGTCATTGATGGGTTCCTTTCTTCTGTGACCTCAGGCAAGGTCAGCCTGTATATCCCATCACGGGTGGATTCAGGCAACCCTACCCATCCTCACTGTCAGTCGACACTTCCATGTCCAGGTAGGTGGAGGTGGAAACCGGGGCACTTGAGGACAAGTAACGCTTTTCGTGCTTGCATCTTGTGCGCCTCTGCTTGCCTCTCGGTTGGCTAGGAGGGTGCATACCTCAGCCACGTGTCTGTCTGTGCAGTGTGCCTGGCTCCCACACTAGGTGCCAGAGATTCCTGGGTAGGAGCCCTGCGCTGTGCCCCAGCAGAACTGGCCACACCCATCAGGGTATGGACTTGGCCCCCCTGGAAAGCATTGCCTCCAAAAGAATTGACTGCTCTCTGACTGTGGGCTGTGAAATGTCCCAAAGTGGTCGTTACATGAAGAGTTCGTTTGATTCAAAACATGTAGGGGGCGGGGCAAGGGAAGGAAGATAAAAACTGGTTTGGTCTGAGTTTTAGAATTTGTTTCCTTTGAGGAAAGTTGTATCAGTTTGATGCGGCAGTGTGTGAAAACGCCCAGATAGTCTAGAGCCTTCCTGGACCAAGGCTGTCAGAAGAGACAGAACAGCACTGACAGACTGCAAGGCCATACAGGGTGTGCGTCCTAGTGTGTGAATCAGGCCCTGTGTGGACATGGTCATGCCAGCGGAACTCGGGAGGCCTGCCGTGCCACACTGTGAGGCTGCGCTGTGTGATGCTTTTGCTTCTGAAAAGGTTGACTCTGTGCCCTGTGCTTGATGTACACACACATTTGGGGTATATCATCTGTGTGTCCAATGTGGCTTTTTCAAGGGAGTTAGCATTATGGTGGTGGAAGTCAAACTGGTGGGTTGTTAACTGGTTGTGAATATGTGTTTTTCATATGGGTATGAAATTCACAGTTTCTATGGTGAATTACAGCTTTAAAAAAACACTATTTTTCCAGCAAATTGTAAATCTAGCTGACTGTGGGAGGAGGTGGAATTAATATCCTTCACCCCTAAAACATACTTTTACACTTTTAAACATTGTAACAACTATCTGATGACAAGATTTTTTCGTAGGCAGATAACCAGCATCATGTATTTTTGCAAACAGTACATTCCACAAAGCATCATTATTTGGTCACATATTTGTATTTTTAACATGCTTCCTTGATATTTGAAAATTTGATTCTGAAATACTACGTTTCCAACCAGAGTTCCTTCCCAGATGAAGGAATTAATTGTACAGGCTGTGATGAAAGACCTGAGAATGTTGTTCTTATTGAGTTAAATGTTTACTTTAAAACAATTTGAGAAGTAAAAATTTCTAAAGCATATTCAAATTTATCTAAAGCGCTTGTTGAGAGTACTGTTTTTATTTATTTTATTTTTCTTGCATGGCAATTTCCTTCCTTTGTATTGGCCTGTGGTAGATATTGTAAGATTTTTTTTAATGCTCTACAGATATATTTAGGGAAAAGCCTTTAATGAGTATAGTTTTTACCCTGATGCAGGGCTGTATTCCATCTTTTTTGTTAAATCCTTCCCCTTAATTCTGTTTCCAGTTTTCCATAAGGCTAAATCTCTTAAACATTACTTTATTTCTGCACAGATAATCATTTTGGATGGTGTTAACAGAATTCTTATTAAATGGAGGATTGATTCCTGTCCCTTTTCTCAATTGTTACCTCCTAATAGTAATGAAAAAACCAACAATATAAGAAAACTCTTAATGTGATGGTTTGCTTAGGAATGCAGGCAGAGAATTTCTTTTTTAATATGATTTTTGCTTTCAGTTAAAAATCACATAAAAAACTCTTTTTCTTTCTGTCTTTTTGTTGTTGTTGTTGTTGTTGTTGAGTCAGGGTCTCACTTTGTTACCCAGGCTGGAGTGCTGTGGCACAGCATGGCTCAGTACAACCTCGACCTCCTGGGCTCAGGTGATCCCTCCACTTCAGCCTCCTGAGTAGCTGGGACTACAGGGACATGCCAGCACACCCAGCTAATTTTTGGATTTTTTTTTTTTTTTTTTTTTTTAAGAAATAAGGTTTCACTATGTTGCCTAGGGTGGTCGCAAACTCCTGCTCAGGTAATCCTCCCACCTCGGTCTTCCAAAGTGCTGGAATTACAAGCATGAGCCACCACCACCAGCTTTTAAAAACTAAATCTTGATAAAGTATTATATTTCCAATAATTACTTATATTGAAATTCTTATTTAAAAATTGTTTTGCAAGAAAAATGATTCACTTTTTTTATTCATCCTGTGGCCTACAGTCCTCCCAGGGAAAATGCCAGATACTACTATTAGTTTGAAAAATTACAAGGAATAATTATAAATATTTCCACCTGAATACAGAAATAAACAAAAAAACAATTTACAGCCCACTCTAATTTATAGTTAATACTCCTGTGCTTAAAGATGTGTTTTCACTCTTAGCCATTAGCAGTTAGTGGGTTGTTTTGAAATTCCATCTGGCTTTTGCTACCACAGCCAGTAGTAGTACATACTGTTTTCTTCTCTCTTGTTCTTTTAGGTTTTCCCATCATATGATTCCTGGTCCTCCTGGTCCCCACACAACTGGCATCCCTCATCCAGCTATTGTAACACCTCAGGTCAAACAGGAACATCCCCACACTGACAGTGACCTAATGCACGTGTAAGTATGCACCTGGGCTCATCTGTGACTGCCTTGGTTCATCTCTGAATGCCTTAACATAATGAGGATTTATATACTGTTGCTTCTTTGTTGTTGTTGATCCTTCACCCCTCCCTATTGTTATGAGATTCAGTGTAGTTCTGCCTTGAAAACTCTGTCCCTGAGGACATTAAGCAGTTTCATTCTCACTGTGCTGAGCTTGATTCTGAGATTGGAAACAAGCACAGACCTTAAAAGATCATGAGAACCCCACCAACATGGAGGAATCTACAGAACATAGGCATTGAAGAATCTTGGGCTATTTAGCCATTTACAACTGAGTTTTAGTTTGGTTCAGATTATTGGGGAGGACTGTTAGTACCTGAGTGAAGCAGATTGGAGGGTCTAATACACTTCTTTCTGGAAATGCAATTGCCCTGGCTTGAGGCTTCAACAGCACAGAATTTAAGGGGAAGGGGCAAACAAAGCCCAGGATTCCCTGTTGAGCCAAAGTTGTCTAGGACTGTTAGAGCAGGGCCGAAGTAATTTACCCCGAAGACATTAGTAATTAAGCTTCTTAATCTAGGCTTTGTGGATGGGAGGATGGGGGCATGGCAGGCAGCATGTAATAGTCCTTATGGTTTTATATAGCCTGCGCAAATGCATACAAGGGCAACATACATTTGTTTGGGGGAAAGGACTTAAAGTTCTATGAGCTTTTCCAAGTAGCCCTTGACCCCACCCCCCAAAGAAAGCTAAGAACCTCTATTCTGAAAGAGGAATGATTACCTGTACTGTATGTTCAGCTTCTTCTGAGGGTGACCAAGGAACTCATCCTCAGGGCCCTAGATAGAGTATCTTCACAATGCCATGTCTATTTCCAAATTGTATTAAACACTTCTATAGCTACAGGTACACTTTGTCAAACCAAAGGAATTTTATTCACAAAGAGTCCTTGAGTAGACAAGAGGCCCTGTTGGTTTGGTTGTTTGCATCTCAATGTTTCCTAAAGTGAATCGAGAGCTGCTCTTCCAAGCTGGTGTTCTGGGGGCGAGGGAGTTGTCTTCACCCTGAGTGCTGTAATGTGGACAGGTACTCTGCCTCTCTTCTTCTCCCATCTCTTCCTCGTTCCTTCCACCGACTTCCCTAACCATCACCACAACCACTTTTTAGGAAGCCTCAGCATGAACAGAGAAAGGAGCAGGAGCCAAAAAGACCTCACATTAAGAAGCCTCTGAATGCTTTTATGTTATACATGAAAGAAATGAGAGCGAACGTCGTAGCTGAGTGTACTTTAAAAGAAAGTGCAGCTATCAACCAGATTCTTGGCAGAAGGGTAAGTAGTAGGGTGGTATATAAATGTTTATGGTAACCATGGAACTGCTTCATTAAAATCTGCCCAAATTTAATTATATATCAGGTAGTCATTGAATTCGTTTGTATAACCAGCATGCTCTCCTGGAAGTAACAAAGGGCACAAGATGTGGCGGTAGTCTGTGGGGGAGGACTCAATGATACAACGCATTGTAAACAACTTAGACTGTGCCTGGCACACAGGAAACTTACTATAGACGATTAGTGTTTTTACCATTATCATTCTTTAGACAAATATTTACTGTGTGTCTTTTTGTGCCAGGCATGATGCTGGGCATTAGGTAATAATCGCTGAACATGATAGCTGTGGTCCTCGCCTTTTAGGATCTTAAAGTTTTGTGACAGGTTACAAGTATTAGACAAATAATTATTCAGTGAATGTGTAATAAACTGATAAACACTGTGAATGCAAAGAGCAAGACTCAGTGAGAATGATAAACAGGGACTTGGGAAGGTCCCTCTGAGCAGATTGTGTTTAAGCTGAGACTTGTGTGACGAGTAGCCAGTCAACATCATGTGGGTGACCTCTGAAGCAGGAGAGCGCTCAGCCCTTTTAGGAAGCCACGGCAAGGTCTGTGAGGACCAGCCTGCAAATAGAGGTAGCCACTCCATCCAAGACAGAAATTGATCTGTTCTACTGAGACTTTAAATGGTAGAATGTATATGATCCCAAGACATCCTGATTCTAGAAAGATCACTTTCTGCTTCTTAAATCTAGAAAGATCGCACACTTGATTTTCGTACATGTGCCAGGTTTCTGAATTGCCCCCCTTTTCCTCATTCCTTCTTTCACTCATGCTATAATATTTTTCTGAGCATCTGTTATCTACCAGGCACTGGGCTACAACTAGGATAGACACTCTCATATTCATTATCCCTCCACTAGTCAAAACACTAGTCAGTCCTCTCAAGTACTTTTCACAGGATTGAACTAGTTTCTGAAGAGTGGTAGAAAAAAATTTGAATTTCTCAAATTCAAATGACATTTCACTGTAATAACTGCTATAATTTTAGGAATGCTTCATATTAATTTGTTGATGTTCTTCCTGTGTGTGTGGTAGCTTCTTAATTTATGACCCTGTATTTGTTTTTGCAACCTCTCAAGATATTCATGATCTGCAAATGAACATTCAGCTAAAAGGGCCTAACAACCTCTGTGAAAAATAGAGGATCATGTGTTAGCTATTTTTGGTGATAATTTTTACCACATTTGTTCCAAACCTAATAAATGTGAGCATTCATAACAAAAAACATTGAGGAGAATTGCCAGTCCAAATGAACAGGAGGGAAACTGGCCTCCTTGCTTTCAATTCCCATTGGACAGCCTCAAAATGCAGCCATTTCCAACCTGCAAGTCACCAGGGTTTCAAGGGTAGGGTGTGGTGGTAGATTATAGCTTTTGTGGTGTCCTGTGCACAATGCCCTATCTCCCCTTGGATTCTTAAACACTTAATAACAATAATTACAATGATTTCCCAAGCCAGATCATAGCAGATGACTGATTCCCAACATCTTTGAAGAAAGCTGCCTTAAAAGCTGATGATCATTTTCCCTGACTCGTTAAAAGAAGAAATCAGAGAAAAAGAAGAGTTGATGTTTTTATTTCAGCTTGTGTAAAACTCTTAGCATTTTATTTTTTCTTTTTGAGTTAAAGTCCTCCTGGTCCTCCAGTGGGAATTATTTTCTTGTTCAAGAGAGTAAGTGGGTATATGATATGAAGGTATACTTCCTATTTTTAATGCACGTTTCCAACAATTGCTACTTTCTCAGCTCCCTTAACAATCCCCAGATCTGAGCATGTGTCCTAAAGGATGGTTCTCATTTGAGATCTCGCTCTGTCTTTGATTTAGACACCTGTTTCTATTTATAGGTCTCTGAGATCTTTGATTAAGATCAGGTTTTCTATCCTTTCATAACTCCCCTCTGGCAGGGCTGCCCTTGCTAGCTCTTTAAAGTCCCTGGCTTCAAAATCATGAAGTTTTACACTAGATGATTAGAGTTCTTAAAACTGGATCCTAAATCCATCCCAGAGCATTTTATCTTTTGATTTTTATTCATCTTTACTGTATCTCTAAAATAGAAATGGTCATTTTTTTACGTTAATTAAGGCTTTATTTTAAATTCATATTGTAAATAATAATAGCACAAATCTTAATTTAAAATAAACTTTTTTCTCTTCAGAACTTCCTATTAAAGGAAGTCCATTTATCACAAATTTACTATGAGAATGTTTTATCTTGGAAGTGTATAAATTTCTTCAAATTAAATGGGCATTTCCCCCACAACTTTATGAAAACTTTAATAAGGAAATTTGATTAAAAAAAAAAAACTTAGCCGGGCTCGGTGGCTCAGCCTGTAATCCCGCGCCTTTGGGAGGCTGAGGTGAGTGGATTGCCTGAGTCCGCGGGTTCGAGACCCGCCTGGGCAGCGAGACCTCATCTCTACAATAATCAAAAAATCAGCCA